TTCACTTTCAAATGCAAAATAATTAGGTCTAGGATTATATAATGAGAGAAGGAATCGTGTTCCTTCCCTAGCTTTCCACTTTTTAACATTAGAACGGTGGTGATGAACCCACCTGGCGTTCTCCATTCATAATGCTACCAGATAAAATTTTTTGATGGTCCACGAATTGATTCTTTTAGTTATCTAGATGTTTTTGTACCGTCCAAATTTCTTGCACCCAAAAGAGAGGTAAGCAGTGCACACAAGGGCATCAAAAGTATGGCAGAGAGAAAAAAAGGTGTTCCAAATTTTGGTTGACAAGATTTGCCTCATTGTTTGATTCTATTAGCTGGTCAGATAAATGCAATTAATTAGTAATAAATAAAATGGAATTTTGACTTGGTATTCGTATAGATGTGTGGCCGTGATGATGAGATGGTCTTATCCAAGTGGCACACTTTTTGAAGAGGTTGCTGAGCATACACCTCTCATGTGCTAACTTGACTTTTTGTTAAAAAAAGGGAGATTAGATGTACAGTCCTTTGTAATAGTGGATCCCACTTTTTGGTGAGCTTGGCGTGCTTCAAACTCAGCCACTTAATTTGTTCTATCTATCTACATATGCCCATGCCCTTTTATTTTGATTCTTGTTCGCGACTAAGAATCCCATAAAGCCCAAGTGGTAAGCCATCCAATCAAACAATTCCTCTTACTTTTGTCTTCTTTTTTAGAACAAAATTTATCTTCATTTTACTAAAGATTCATGAAAGTGACTCGTAATCCTTTAAAACCTCTCTTTTTTAATACATTTATAAAGAGTTTAAATACAAAGTACAAGATGTTTTTATCCTATCGAAAACATAACAACTCATAAAACAAAAAATTAGTAATTAACTTTTTTAAATGAAAATATAAATATTATTTCTCTAATTAAATTATTTTTATGGTGATATTACGTCTGTCTTACTTTTTCACCTTTATTGCAAAATCAAGGAATAAGACATCAAATCTTTTTTTTTTTAAAATAAAATTAAATGCTAATTAATTAAACTTTTAATATAAAGGACAAAAAACTTCGAGAAATATTCTTTACTGTTGTGTGTGATTTTTCCGTCAAGTTCGAAGTTTGCGAGGTTATAGCTCGGTCTAGAACCAGCTCAATTCAACCGATCGTCCGACTCAACATAAACTCGTCGAGTCATAGTTCGACCTAGCATAAGCTAGTCACGACCAATCCTCACAGTTGTTCAACCAACTCATAGATAATTTCAGATCCTGAGTATCTCGGAAAGAATCAGATCGATAATAATTTTTACACAATCGCAACGTCCAATCACGAGTATATCGGAGTTACATTTTAAACATTATTGTAATCTCTTCATTTTTGCTCTTTCATTTATATAAAATTTATATATAAACCCCTTCAATGATTAAAAGGGGGTTAATAAATTATTCTAAGACTATCATTGTAAGTTTTCACAACAAATACAAAAACAATGAAGTTAGACTCAAGAGTTTAACTCGCCGAACCACTTTAAAAACTTTCTTGCCATTTATTTTACTGTATTTTATTATTTATTCACTGCTGGTTTTTTGTAATCATGCACACATCAGTTTTAATCCGGTCAAGATCGATCAGATCACTCTAATTACTGTATTTTTGCATCAACATTTACAAAAAGATTGGAAGTGAAAAGCCAAGCCGAGTGGAGGAGGGAAAGAGAAATTAAGCCGGCTTAATAAAGGGTTATCGTCGTTTATGAACATGATGGTGGTAAGGGTATCGTATGCATGTGCGCAATGGCGCTTTGGGTGGCCACAACGAACCGCAATGCAGCCGCACCCGCAATGGCTTACACTCTCCTTACTAATTGGGTCCCCCACACCACACCTCCCGTCCTCACCTTCCCTTCCTCCACGCACTCTGACTAAACAACAACAGAACCACTACCGCCCTTTCCTTAACGGATCCCACCCAACAACTCAACATCACTCATCAGTCATCACCAACGTGACCCCACGCACACACGCCATTTTCGTTGCCGTCCATGTCATCAGTTAACCGTTCCTCCTCCTTTTCTTTTTATTTACAATTTTACCCTCCCTTTTCAACATTCTTTCTTTTTTTTTTTTTACTATGGTGTTTTATGCTTTTAAAATTCTTGACTTATGCATAATGTCTTCCACCTTTTATTTATGTTTAATTCATTATATTCACTTTGGTCAAATATTTACTAGATACATATATTATTATTTTTTTTAATGAAAGATGTGGACACTACTTCTTTTTGGAAGTATAGTCAATTATATATATATATGACAAACCGAGAAATATATTAGCAAGAGAGGTATGAATATGATGAGTCTTTTTATTGCATTTTAAACATAATGTTAGGAATAATAAGAATAAAGAAAAAGGTACATGCATAATATTGAAAAAAAAAAAGGGGGATTAACTAAATAAATTGTGTGAAGGATAACCCAATAATCAATGTATATTTATTTATTTTCTATGAATGTGTATTTTTATTGATTGACAAAATTCTAACGTACATGAAACCAAATATGCATGATGATCTTTATGGAATGTTCCAACTTACAACGTAGAGTTACCTAAACCTGGTTGCCAGTCTTTTGGCAAAGGAAAAAAGTATCTAATTTGGATTTTGGCGGATTTCCAAATTAGTTTGGTTACCTTTAAATACATTGTAATGGACGCACTGAAATTAATATTAGTAACATGAATAATCAGGGACATTCAATAAGGGCCGGGTACCTCGCATGCCTGCTCTATAATCAATGAGCTGGCTTTGTAAAATAACCAATTAAATTAGCCGTATATGGTATTTAATAATTAGGAAAAAAATTTGTAACTTTGCTGTGTGATGTAATTTTTATATCTTTTATAGATCCCACTTATAAGGGTGCGTTTGGTTCAAGGAATATTAGATTATTAGAAAGTTAGATTACCTTGAAGATTATTAGAAAGTTTTGTGAATATGTGTTTGGTTAGTTGATGGGTATGTTATATTAATATGTTTGGTTAGGAGAAATAAATTGTTGAGTATGTTATTTAAATTACTTAATTGTCCTCTAATTAAATATTGTAATTTAATATTGTTATTTAGATTATTATTTGGATTATTTATAACCCCCTTATATTTAAAAAACTTAGCAAAAACAGCCCCATAATAAAAGTTTGGAAAATCAACAATGCACCCCCATTAACCCAGCCACTGCCAGCAGCCAACAACCTAACGGCGCACAAAAGGCAGGAAATGGCCTCCGTGCGCTGTATGACTATTTTTAGCCAGAGATTTGATAGAAAATGGCCAGATCGTGACAGATATGGCTGGAAAACAACTAGATCTAATCTGGTCGTTTCCGGCCAGATCTGTCACGATATAGCCATTTCTGGCTAGATCTATATTGACACACGATGGCCATTTCAGCCATTCCGTGCGCCGTTTTGGCGGCAGCAGGTGGGTGGAGTTGGCGGCTTGGGTGAGCTACAATTTGTTTTAAATTCAAGGGTAATTTTATCTAAAAAGTTAATTAATTAGGGTGAAATAGTAAAAGTTATATTCATGTCAATTAATTTAAAAATAAGGGTATTATTATCCAAAATTTTTATTAATAAGGGATAAAATTGTAACAAAAAAAAAAAAAAAGATTACTTTAGTAATTTTATAATACCTAACAAAATGGAGGTAATCTGATTACCTCTAATATTATTAACAGTAACTATTATTGGTATTTGAAGATTATTAAAATATTATATTACTTAACAATCAAACGTGGTAATCGGAATGTTAGGATCCCACATTGAAAGGGAAAAGGGTGGGCATGTGGGTTATAAAGGCTTGGGCACCCTCCCTTAGCAAGCCGGTTTTTCAAGGAGAGTTCTACCCAAACCCATGAAAGATCCATGGCCCAACTCAAATTGTTGAGTTATTGGAGTGGGTTCCCATCAATTGGTATCAGAGCATGATCTTACGCCTATGTGGTAGCACACGCGTGGCAGACTGACCCTTGGCAGGGCTACTACCCAAAGAAAAGGCATGAAGGCTCGAGAGAAAGAGGATCCGCGTAGTCACCCAAGGGATAAAGAGGCTGACGTGGACATCGGTTGCGGAAGCGTGGTAGAATATTAGGATCCCACATTAAAAGAAAAAAGGGTGGGCGTATGAGTTATAAAGGCTTGGGCACCCTCCTTGAGTAAGCCAGTTTTTCAAGAAAAGTTCTACTTAAGCCTATAAAAGACCCATAGCTAACCAAAATTATTAAGTTATTAGAGTAGATTCTTATCAATTAAATAATACAAGATGACATAACCTCAATAATATCACGTAAACTCAGTCAAACGCCCCTAATAGTCATGTTGCTTGCATCAAATCAAATATGCGTTTTGGGATTATTTATAATATTAATTAATTATAATTATAATCGTGTCTAGGAAACTGTGCGATTAGGTGTATTGTCGTACGTATTAAAAACTCTTTTGATGGAAGTTTTCAAATAATATGTTATGAAGTTCAAGAAATTATCAAAAGTTCATTTTATAAAATAAAACAATAACATAACATGTGACATGAAGCACATGTAAAAGAGCCAAAGCTATACAGCTCCATATCATAAAGCAACTACCATCATCGATGAACAAAACCTCAAACAAAAATTAACACGTTTCGAAGTATGTAAAATCAGGTTTACATAATAATGCTCACCTTCCGAATTTTCCACGTGTCAAATACCCGATCATTTAATTAAAAACCTAACCATTTTGGTTACACCAAACCCAGTTCTGTAATTCCACTTCTCCTAGCTACCTTCCCCCCAAACTCTTACCAAAATTCACCATCACAACCCACGGCTGCCCTTGCCTCTATTCCTAACCATCCTTCTTAACCAATCTTCATTTTATTTTCCACGTCAGTACTTTTGAAAAATTGCCATGTCATCACAAATTCCCCACCTGTACGGACATGCCACCCTAACCCTGTGTATATATTTCTCAACTTAAAAAACCCCATCACCTGTGAGTTGTGATCCAAACCCTCTCTGTCTCTAAACATTACCCGACTCTTTTTATATTTCACATTTACTGGTTTTCCGCTCCTCGTATAACAAACTCGATATTTTCCGTTTGGACCAAAAATACTACAACACACTATAAAATTACATAGAGAGCCCTCCGATTTACCAGTGATGCCGATGGCGGCAGGTTTAGCATCGCCAACTGATCGAGCTCCAGCTATGGGGCCTACTGGAGTCATACCCTCACCGCCGGTAGTGATGATGTCCGATGCTTTCGCGAAAGACGCAATCATAGCCTGGTTTCGGGGTGAATTCGCTGCGGCAAATGCCATCATCGATGCTCTATGTGGACACTTGGCGCAAGTGAATGCCAGTGGAGGTGAAGGATCTGATTACGACCAGGTTTTTGCAGCGATTCATCGGAGGAGGTTGAACTGGATCTCAGTGTTACAGATGCAGAAGTACCACTCGATTGCTGAGGTGGCTGTCGAGTTGCGTAAAGTCACAGAGAAGAAATTAGACAAGAAGGAAGGCGGTGATCAGAAGAAGAAGGTTGATGAAATTAAGGAATGTTTAATCAATGAGAAAGTGCTAGAAAATGACGAGAAAATTGCAGAGGGCGAGAAAAAGTTTGCAGTTGAAGAGGTATCGGTAGTGGAAGAGGACGATTCACCGAACAGCGATATCACTGATTCAGGTAAGTATATTTTTCAAAGTTCTTTTAATCATTTTTTGAATTTTTATATTTCTCTAAATTTGATTATTGAGAATTGGATGGACATCTGAACTACAAGGTTCTTCAATTAAATCATAGTTTAATAAAGTTATTTGCCTTTTTTTTTTTTTTTTTCATTTGATTCTTCGTAATGCGGAGGAGGTAACTATGAAGGTAAATACTTTTTTTTTCTTTTCAATATTTCCTTTTTCCTTTTTAAGTTAATTTTTAATGATTTAACTTGAATAAGAAATAAAGTTTTTAATTTATTAATTCTATTTTGTGCGAGAAAAGATAGGAAAAGTTTTCGAATATGAAATCTGAAGGTTTAAGATGTCTGGTAGCCAAACATCAAAATATGCTTTTCATGATTTAATTCATTTTATATAGTTTCTTTCAAAATTAACAGTAAAAAAGGTGCAGTCCTAATCTTCTTTCCATTTTCTCAGGAACCAAACGTAATCATATTTTTCTCCAACCAATTCCTGATTCAGACCTCCGTTAACAAAATTTATCTGACTTTGAATTCAATGTGAAGTTAGATAGTGATAGATGTTATTTTGGCGTTTGAGTAAACTGTTAGTTACGCTCCGATTTCACTTTCTGATTTTACCGATTTTCCAAAATATTGAAAAAATAAAATATTTAATATAAACCAATATGGCTGGTATTTTCCCGAGGTCAAATGGAGTTGGAGATTTCGAGGTTTGCGAAAAGGTTTGGCTGCGTCCAGTATTACAGTTAGTTTGGGGAGTAGCGAATACAATTACGTTGTTGCAATTTTGCTTCGTTTTGTGTGCAATGATTTAATTGTAGGTGGCGCGGGAACCGTCTGATCTAGTTGACATCTTCTATGCGTAAGCTGATTTCTGAAGGGTAGTTGAGTTTGGACATTTTTGACATTTAGGGTGCTAATGCCGTAGACAGATTAGACTCTGTGTGGGTCAGCTTGATTTATTGGGCCGAGTTGGCGGGTCAACTCCGGTGCGCGATCCAATGAAAAAGTTTGGAATTTTAGGAGAAAAGTTATGTTTGGTTAATCAAATTAGTTGATTCAAAATGGGGATATAGTACAATGCTGTACTTTGTGTTTTTTTGTCCTTTCCTTGGTAGCATTGGTTAGCAAAATGTTTTGTCGTTTTTTAACTGTCAAGTAGGTGCTGATATTTACAAGTCTTTTAAGAAGTGTCGATTATGAGCGAAATATAAAATGGATGCAATAATAAACAGTAACCTGGTTAAAAATACGAATAATTGTTATCAGCTTCCGTAAAGGGGGAGATTGCCTTTCCCATTACCTCCCAGAAGAAAAAGAAAATACAAGAAGAAAGTTTGCGTAACTCAGTATGACTATGTAAGCAATTTCTAGGAATTTTTATTCTTATGAGATGGAAAGAGACTTGGTATTTGTATTTGTATAGGTAGTTAATGATTGTTATGTAATGAGGTTTTGCTGGAATTAGAAAGTTCTCAATTCTGGGCAAAACACATAGCATATGATCAGTATGATGCAGAGGAGGACTTTTTTATCAATCAGGTTTCTTACTCGGGATTATATTTATCAGTTAAATAGATAAATCCGTCTCCTTCACCACGAAATCCTGTTTCTTCCTTCTGTTTAATCTTTGATTTTGCTTTAAATATCATCAAGAGAGCCTAGAAGTTTTGCAACCAATAAGGAGTATTTCTTATTTATGATTTTGCTATTAGTGTGAATTTCTTGAAGTCTTCACTTGTAAATGGTTAACAAAATGTTGGGTGCAGCTTTGCAAGTTTCTTCTGTTGATTTTCTTAGTCAAATGTTTTAACATTATAAAGAGTTTAAGATGGCTATTTTGTGTCTAGCTGAAATAGGAAAAGTTATTAATGTTCGAACATGTCACTTCTCTATGTATATTTGCACCCATCTATAATTGTCGCATTAGTATCTCAATTTTATTTGTTTGTTTGAATTCAGGATCTCTAGAAATGCAGCCCCCAACTGAAAATATTGAGATATGTTCAAACCATGAGGACTGTGATGAAAGACGTTCCCAAATTAACTTGACAAAAGGATTTACTGCCAAGGAGCAAGTGAAAGGACATATGGCGAGTTCTTTCTTTCACAATTTAATATAAGTTCTTTCCATAGAGAAGATGGATGTCAGCGAGTTGATATCTATCATTTCTGATACGGAAAAAGAAAGTATCTAGTCCGTTATGATTGACAGATTATTGCAACTGACAGGTGAATGTTGTGAAAGGATTGAAGTTATATGAGAACTTGTTCACAGATTCAGAGCTCTCTATGTTAACTGACTACGTGAATGAACTGCAACTTGCCGGCCAAAATGGAGAACTTTCAGGTTACCACTTTGAAGCCTTTGTCTTGTAATCTTTTGACTAATATACACTGCCTAATTGTGTAGATTTTTTCTGGACTATTAAGATGAAAAGTACATCTCGTATAGCTTTGTTTGCATAGGCAGTTATCCATTTTTTTTTTATCTTTGATAATTCTAAATAGCATGCAGTGTCGAGGAAGCCATGTCTTAAATCTCAAACTTAACTCATCCAGCATAATTTCAAGTAACAGCACCTTGAGCGAGTCTAGTAGATTGACAGCTAGTAAGGAATAGACCTGTGAACAAGGAGGTTCAAGGGAGGCACATGCTTTTCAGGCTATTGTTTTAAATTTAGGCCTCATGTATTGGTCTAAAACAGTTAAAAAATGTTTAAAGCGAAATTCATTATACTAACCCTGTCATTTGTTCCTATAGGAAAGCCTGTCTATTATACATACTCTTGTCGTTCTATAGGAAAATATTACTGCAAATTGATGATATAAATAACTGAGCATATATATTGTATATAGGTGAGACCTTTATTTTGTTCAACAAGCAGATGAAGGGAAACAGGAGAGAGTTAATTCAGTTTGGTGCTCCAATTTTTTCACACATAAAGGAGGAAGCCGCAAGTAACAATGAATTGGGTAAGACATACCTCTAAGTTCAGTATGTTTTCAACTCTTCAACTTTCTGATTGGTACTGGAAGTCGATTATACATAATTCACAGCAACTTTCAAGATTACCTTGTAATTGGGATTTTCTGTTTTCAGGTAATATAGAACCAATTCCAGCTCTTCTTCAATCAGTCATTGATCACCTAGTCCAGTGGCAACTGATACCAGAGTACAAAAAACCAAATGGTTGCATCATAAACTTCTTCGATGCGGTAACTTATATTTGCTGCATTATTGTGATTTTTCTGGTTTTGTTAGGAAGATAGAAAAACAGTTTTCACAGATCTTTAGTGAAAGTTGATTTGAGCCTTCAGTTATTCGGAGAGAGTATGACATGAAGTCACGTAATTTTTTTTTTCAGAGTGAATATTCACAACCTTTCCTGAAACCACCTCATTTGGACCAACCTATCTCTACGCTTCTTCTGTCTGAATCAGCAATGGCTTTTGGACGCAGTCTTGTGAGTGATAAAGATGGGAACTATAAAGGGCCACTCATGCTTTCACTGAAAGAAGGGTATGTATTAAAAGTGCTTTTTTTTTTTTTTTTCAAATATTTTACAACATTGAAAGTTAACTTAAAAGTTAGAAACTACAAAGAAAATTATAAATAAAAAATTAAGAAAAGTAATACTAATACAATGAAGGACTTTGGGAGAGGGAGGTTGCAACTTCTTCAGAATCTGCTGCATGCCATGAAGAATGTGTGAAGTATGATACAATTTCTGTGGAAACAAATAAGACAACATCTCTCATTATTGAATTTATAATTCGTAGCCCTATTGGTTAAACAAGATTTTTAGAATATAGGTCCACTTTATAGTTCCTATAAGGCTGTCCATAGACAGAATTGTCGATAAAATCTGTAATCCTAAAAATCTTGCAGGTCACTACTAGTCATGAGAGGAAACAGTGCTGACACAGCAAGGCACGTCATGTGCCCATCTCCTAACAGAAGAATCAGCATTACATTCTTCAGAGTCCGACCTGACTCCAACCAAAGCCAGTCACCGCCAACTACTCCAACCGGTCCGCTGAATGGTGCCATGACTTTATGGCAACCGGGCATCACAAGCCCATATCCAGTGGCAACTGGAGCTCCCAATGGCTATGAGGCAATGGATGTGATGCCCAAATGGGGAGCGCTTCGTTCCCCTGTGGTCATGTTGGCTCCCGTGCGCCCTATGGTGATGAGTCCTAGAAGGATTCCTCGTGGGGGTACTGGGGTTTTCTTGCCCTGGACTGTGGGATCTAGAAAACCCTCAAAGCATCTTCCACCACGTGCTCAAAAAGGAAGATTTCTGGCGTTACCTCCTGCAGTTGAAACTGTTGTAGCAGATTCTGCTTCTGAAGCAGGCAACTAGTACTGAAGGAAATAAGTATGAAGTTAGCCCTGGGGCTGAAGCAACTTTTGATCAAAGTGGTGTATTTCTCTTGTTCACATGATGCTTTTTAAGGAGCATCTCTTATTGTACAAACAGGGCTCAATTGCTGGTAGAAGAGTTTGTTCTTTTATTTTTGTTTGCTGCCTGTTTGCCTCATTAAGGTTAGGTTCTACAGTGGAACAGTATACTTCCTTTTTGAATGCGAATATGGTAGTGTTTAGAGGTAGTTGAGCTTTAAGTTCAGGAAGTGTGAATTAGCTCTAAATAGAAGGCGGAATTTTGTATTAAGTTCAGTTATTTATATCAATCTTTTTTATGAACAGATGGTACTACTTTGATTTTCTACACAGTCCAGGAGAAGTGGATCCACATGAATGCTTCAATTTTGTTACCATAAAATCATATTAATTATACTTATTTTTGTTAACATTGGAAAATTATCCTCTCATTCTGGAAGACTGCTGAGGGGAAACCAGTTAGCTTTTCCACCAAGCAAATTTGAAAGGATATTCACCCCAGTAACAACCTGGTCAGTTGGCCGTCTCTTTTGTGGACAAGTACTTGTGTTCCTCGGCACTCATTCATTGCTTGGCTTGCTATTAAACAGAAGCTTCTGACCCAAGATAGAATGAGGTTGCGGAGAAATGCCGGGGACCTTCGTTGTGTCTTGTGTAAAGGCCCCTGAGATTCGCATGACCATCTCTTCTTTGGTTGCCCTTTCACGAGTGCACTCTGGACTGCTGTTCAAGTGAAAGGTCATTTTCAAATTCCTGTAATAGATTGGGGCAGTATAGTTGTTCAGTGTTCGGATATGTTTTAAGGGCAGAAACGTTTGGGCTGTTATCCGAAGGCTTTTGTTCGAGGCTGTTATTTTATTTTATTTGGCAAGAAAGGAATTTTAGACTCTTTAAGGGTAAGCATAGGAGTCGGGACGAGGTTGAGAATCAGATTTTCGAAGAAATTAGACTTAAAATGTGCAGTTTAAAGTTCAAAGACAATGTGAGGGTGCGGCGAGCACTTACGGAATGGGAACTGCCCCTGGATTGTGTTGGTGTTGGGAGAAGAAACAACTCCTTGACTCTCTGATGTGCTGGATTGAATGGCTGCTTATGGAAATTATTGGGTGATGCATGGTCAAACAGGGAGTTTGTGTATGCAACATCGCAATTAAGTTTTACTCTAGTGGGAATTTTTACTCATGGTAGAAATCCCCAGAATTCTGACAGTAAGATGGAGGATGCTTTCTGTATACATATTGTATACTGTATAGTCTGTAAAACTTTGCTTTTTTCGTGCAGAGGCCTAGTTTTTTATTTGGGCCGTTTGTAGATCTTTTTTGCTTTTCGCCTAGGATCCTTAGGCTGTTGTTTGGTGAGATTTGGGTATTTTCCAATCTGTTTACTTGTTTGTAGGGGTTATCCCTTGCGTCCTTGTAATCTTTGATTCTTTTATACAATTTCCGGATTTATCCAAAAAAAAAAAAAAAATTATCCTCTCATTTTCTCAATTTTTATTTAAATGATTGATAATTAATAAAAATGTAAATAAATGTTAATAAGTATCATGTGTTTTAAGAATATTTTTATTCATATTTAAATGAGTTATGTTTTATTATTGGCAAATTGATAATTCTTTTTTTTTCCCCCCTCTGTATCTGCCATAACATATATGTATTGATGAAGATGGTGTAGTATGTACGTTGTGGTCCAGAAAAGAAATATGTTCTGTATCCTCATCTTGACAAAAAACTTAAAATTTTCCAAATTGCAAGCAGTCTTGAGATCCGAATAAAGTTATTGACGGTCATATATCTTCATTCCTAAAATCTGAAATCAGAGGGCAAACAAAGTTTTTAAGCCAGGTTCCTGATTGAAAGTTGTACACTTAACTCCTAGCAGGCACACATTCTCATGGTCAGCTACCCTTTAGTAAAATCTTTTCCTCTTACCAGTTAACACCATCAATTAGACAATTATTTACCCCCAAGTACGGTAAGATTTAGCCAAAGTTCATCTATCAGAGACGTTTCTTCCACATTAACATTCGACAATATAACCCAACCAAAATTATGAACTATACCAAGAGTTTGTGTCATCCCATTGTTCAGATTCTAATGGTCTTCAATAAATTGGGCAGCCAGCACATTACATTTTTACTAATGGCACTATGGCAGGAACTTGGACAAAGGATTAATCTTGTGCGATAACCATAAGCAGTACAAAAAGTAATGTCTTTTAACTGTAAAAAAGTTTGCATATTTAGGTGAAATACAGTAATCCACAATACTGATAACCTTCTTACATATTATCTACCACTACACCCTTAAAAACATTCATATCCACGTAATGGCAATCCCTGGAGGGTTTCCAGTGAATTTAGTTGAACAATATTTTCCACCACAACATTTGCTTTGCGGGTAAATACTACACAATTCTATAAAAAGCTTCGAAGTCCAATGGCCCCTAAACTTTACTAATTAATGGAAGCTGAGAATTGTGAAAAGATCAGTGCAAATAGACTTGCTATAGTACAGGTGAATGATGAATGTGCATGACTTATCTGCAAATTGGTTTTAACATATAACTGGAAAGGGATATTACAATAACACACTAGCTTCCACTTATATATAAAGATACACAACACAATCATAGATGTTATTACATTTAGACCAAACATTTAAAATTAAAATAAATCCTCCCCACATAACCCTTACCGGAGTTAATATGGAGGTAGAAAGAAGCATAGTGCAATCAATTCTAAGAATTTATGAACTTAAAAGTGTCAGGGCGTATCAAGCTTTAACTGGCTCGTCCTCATCTTCAATATCCCAGCTCAAGTCTTCCTCTTCTTCTGCAACACTCAGCCGCTTCCTCAAGTCAGCTCTATTTGGGCTACCAGCATGAGTTACTTTCTTCTCATCAATGCTGCTAAGATCCTCAATCTCATCCCAACCAAGGTCTTCTTCCTCGGGCATAGATGGCTGGCTTGACACGACCGAAAAGTCACTATTTTTACTAGACTCCTCCGTCTCTGCCTTATCAGTCAAGCTCACCTTCTCATCTGATTTCAATCCTGAATCTTCCTTACTCAATCCACTATTCTTCTCCATGCTCACTTTATCATTAACAACATCTTCACTACATGATTCCACAACACTTTTCTTACCAACTTCATCCACATCCGACTCAGAAATCTTCTCTCCCTCACTAACTCTCAAACTATCCTCCTTCAAAATTTTCTTATCACCCAACCCCTTGCTTTCAGATAAATCACTTTTCACTGCAACTTCAGCCTCTTTACTGACATCCTTTCCAGAACTTTTGCTACCCACATCCTCGATTTCCTTCGGATTCAATTTCGTCACTACATTACTCTGACTCTCATCCTCTCCATCTTCATCATCAACATCCCAACTCAAGACCTCCTCCTCTTCGGCTGAAAGGCCCGACATGGCTCTCTTCACAAGACTAGCCCTCAAATCCTCAGTCTGTTTAAGCTTAAACACTCTATAAAAATACCTATACCAAAAGGTCTCATGATCAACAGTATTAGGCACCACCCTCTCGTATATACTCTCCATAGCACCATTTTGTTCAAACAAGCTCTCAATTTTCTCATTCATCGTATCCAAAACAAACCCAGATTTCCACTTATTATAATCATCTAAATCATCAACTTCCTCACAGTACGTATTTACATCTCCCTGAATCGCACGAACCTGGGCATCAAAACGACTATACGGTTTGCGTTGCCCACTATTATTATTCTGATTAGTATTATTATCAGATGAATCGGATTCGTGATCAACCGCTAGGATAGCATCCTTACCGTTAGAGATGATCTGGGCCGTCCCTTTCAAAACGGTGTTTCCAAACTCGTCAATGACGGTACCGACTGTCCCTATGGATCCCTGGGCCACCTCAATTTCCTTTCTTAGACCCGTCCCGAACTCCTGCAGATCGCGACGGTAGGTTTCGATGACCGATTCAGATTTGACGGTTAGGGTTTTGATTAAACCACCAAAACTCCAGCCATCACTGCCAGCGCCATTGCTAGGTTGGGGTTTGGGAGGAGTATTGGGATCTGGGTTTTGTTCATCTGGTAGTAATTCGGTGTTGGAGGATTCGGGGTCGGGTTTTGGTTGGGGATCAGTATCATCGGAAAAAACGGATTTGAAGAAATTCATGATGGAGTAAGGGTTTGGGTTTGAGTCTGGATATGGAGAATCAAAAATAATTTTGTGATATGTTGTGGTTGATAACGTTGGGATTCTTCCAACTTACTCCTTAGCTTCCTTTTCTTATTTGGATAATGGTGATGGCCGAAGCCGAAGCCGAAGCCGAAGCCATTAACTATTAGTTGTTTTATTTATTTAAATCAAGAATTTGACATTAAAATTGATATCAAGAATTATTGGGTGCGTTTGGTTGTATTTTGGGTAGGATTTTGAGGATAGATTGGATAGTTGGATAGGGTTATGATTACGAGAATATGATTTCAGAATATGTGTTGGTAGAGTATTTTGATCTTGATATTTGTGTTAAAATTTGATTAATATATTTGGTTATAAATGATTATTAATAAAATATTTTATTGTATTTTGTTAAAATATGTATTATATATATATAACTTATCACCTCACATTTTAATAATACTAAATATTTTATTGATAATTTGTTACCCGTTATATAAAAACAAAAACCCATATTAATTTCAAGTAGTAATCCAACAGTTAAAAACATCACATTAATACATATATGACAAAATACTAATTATAAACCCTTACAATCATTATTACACGTTTACTCCAGTAACAACTATGACATGGTCCACTGTGCTACCCACAGTGCATTCGTTATGTTATCCCGTACAGTCATCATGTTGTCTATAATACCTTGTTGCGGTTGACTCGATCCTTCTCCATTTCCGCCATATTCTGCCCCGTTTTGATGATCACAAATGCTTGCTCATTACCCATACTATTATTGGTTTGTTCGAAGATACGGTCGTCCATATTGTACATTCTTATAAAATTATGAAGTACACAACATGCCAGACAATCTTCCCTTGTTTGTCAACGGATAATTGTTCATTCCATTTAGATACGGAACCGTTTTTTCAAAACACCAAAGGTTCTCTCGATAACATGCGGAGTGAAGCATGTCTGTAATTAACAACTCTTGTGGCCCCCTTCGGTTACGGCGGTGATCAGAAATATGGTAAGCCACTTGCCTATGAGGGGGAGGAACCCATCCCTATTTGCATAACCCGCATCAACCAAATAGTATTTCCCTGTAAAATATCAGACATTTTATTTGAATTCAGGGCCTCAACAGTGGATGTAATACGCTGTAATACGTCAAGAAATACTTATACCTGGTGGAGGATATGGGAATCCAGAATTAGGATCATCAATAATTGAATTTAAAACTCTTGAATCATGCGCTGATCCTTCCATCCAGTAACGACATAAGTGAACATCATGTTAAAGTCGCATACAGCCATTATATTCTGTGACATCGATCCTTTGCGATTCCGGTACCTAATGGCAAATTACGTGGAACCGAAGCGTATACATGTGTGCCATCTAGGCTCCAATACGTCCTATCATGAAAATGAGTCATTTCACTAATATAACCTACTAAACAAATTAATAATACAATGAACTTAACTATCTACTAATACCAAACATAATGAACCAGTACCTTAAAGAAAGGGTAATATTTTCTGTTGGCTGATATTTCCCATGGAACATCATTGAAGTCAGGTGGTCTGTAAACTCTGTCTTCAACTCACTAGCATCGCAAACTGCGGTAACTGTCTAGAAATCGTCTCACCCGAATGTGGAAATCCTCCATCATCGTTCTGATTGTCTCATTTTTTCCAACGATTTTAGAAATATCATAACTTGTTCTTCTAAACTCGTCTCCTGGTTGGTTGCAATTTGCCTTGATCGGACAAAAATTCACATAACAATGTAAAACAGTCTCTGTCCATGCGGCACTTGTCATAGATCCTGTCAGGATGACCGTTGAGTACTTCCAACATGTACTGATGACCAGTTAATACAGATGTATGTCGTGGTTGAGGTCGACTTGCTTCTAACCGGCAAACCGCATAGTGCAATGGCTATATCTGTCAGTATTTCTCTTCGTCCTCTCATCTGTAGCACGTTGTCTTCTTCCTGTACGGCTAGACGACGCCATTTAAACCTACACATTTGCAAAACATTTATCAACAATTAATAGTTGTTGTACTACTTTGAAAAATATAAAAGTCAATATTTAATTGCAATGACAATCTAAAACAGTGTTTACACATTACAATATCACATAAATAAGTTCATACGTAACGTTTAAATTGTAATTGTAATGACAACTGCCCACTGACGCATACAAATTGTTGCCAAACAATTATGAATATAGTGTCATCTACGAATTATTTGAAAAAGTTTTTTGAATCCAGTTAGCCCTTTCGTCCAGTGGGAGTTTCACAAATATCTCGCGCCACCCTGGATTTTCATATAAGTAAGTGACAGTCGGCAGGAAAAACTGTGTCGGTACTTGCATGGCCGTCATGATGTCAATACAATTGCTCATGGAGAAAGGATCAGATGGAGCACTGGTGTTCGCTTCTTCCCTCTCATCTCTAGGACGATCGGAAGCCCTGGATCCCATTGTCCGCTTTTCCGCAAGCTCATCCGTAAGCTATAAATGGCATCCGCAATTGTATGTCGGCCCCCTTCTATGCCTCCGATTTCTCGCTCCTCCAGACCAGATATGTTTGGCCGTTTTTCCCCTGTCAAACGATAGGATCAGGTTCAAAGTGCTATCTCCATAGGAACCGACGGGATTGGAATAACTGGAAGGCTCCACCTGTTGGGATGTAGATGTGTACGCATATCTTCCAGTGGCAGTTTGCTTCTCAAATATTATTTCATAAGTTCCTTGTGGGGAAGCCCTTGTGGTAAAATTGTTGCGCCAGTGGGTTTTGCTGATGAGTTAAACGAAATAAATATAATATTTAGCAGTCCGAAAAAATGCGTATATTTACAATGACGTTGAATAATAATAGTTAAAAATATATTTACCTTGACATATTCTTGCCAAACCTCAACGGGACACGTTGGACTTTGGACTCTTGATCCCACCCGAATCCTGTGGTTGCAGTAATTTCCGCCATGCTTGATAAAGTTTTCGCAGGCGAAAGAACTTAGAGGCTAATTGTGTCACGTTGAGTCTCCTGCCAGCCAATGATGATATGTCGTCCAACATTCTTGGTAATCAGCTGTTTTTATTGCAGTACCATGTGAAGTTTTGGGCCCCTCAGATAACAGGACCGAAATCTGTGTGTCATCTCAGCAGACCAAGCCACAGAATCACCCATCTAAGGACAGTACGGTGAGGGACACCAACATTGGGGCACCATACGAATCACCAAGCACATTACACAATAAATAATCAATGTTAACGTAATCAACTAAACACAATAAAAGTGTACCTCGTTCGATCCGACCACTGCTTGAAGACGTCAATGCAGGGGAAGATACAGACACTGTCGACCAACAGGGTGTATGACGAACTCCAACTCTAGAAAAACGTCGAAACTTTCGCCTCTGTTGCAAGTAATAATCAATCCTGCGACGTCGAGTAAATATGACTGACATCTATGCATATGAGCGTAATTTCTGGGTACGATTAAAGAACGATGTCAAATCTATAAAACAAATAAATCAATTAGTGAAACCGGAATAAAAATTTCAGTTAACCAAATACAAAACGCATTATTAAAGTCCAAATTCAAAGGATTAATGAAAAAAAAAAACAATACTAATACAAATTATTTCCAAAAAAAAAATTGAAAAAAATAGCGGCTCGGTGTCTTGAAAACAAATAGATAACGGAAACTTACAAAATTGATTGGATACGTCGTGAGTCTCTTTCCCTTCTCTGAGTCAGATAAACATCCAAATACAATTAATGGATCCGTGTGTACACGAGATTAAAAAGCTGTCAAACAAAACAAAAAAACCCAATTAAAACAATCCTGTGCCAATTACCGAATAAAATAAAAACCGAATTAACAATTATATGCCAATAGCCTAATCAAATAAAAACCGAATTAAACAAAATCCCAAATAAAACAAGATTGCCCAAAAAAAACCCAATAAAAGCCGAAAAAACCAATGCTTTATATGTGTGGGTTTGGGTTTGTTTTATTAGACAAAACAAAGCATTTTATTTTGAAGAAAAAATTCAGTTTCAAAATGGTGGGTGTCTTTGCAGAGATGAGGTGGGTTTGATGGAGATGGGGTGTGGGTTGATGGAGATCGTGGGTGGCTCGGGGTGGGTGCGTGGTGGCTCGAGGTGGCCTGGGTTGGGGTGTGGTGGTGCGTGGTGTGTGGGTGGACTTGGTTGGGTGTGGTGGTGCGTGGTGGTTGGTTGGGGTCGTGGTGGTGCGTGGTGGCTTGGGTGGGCTTGTGTGGGGTAGATCGGGGTCGTGGTGGTGGTGGGGGCGTGGGGCGTGGTGTGGCTGGGTGGGGGGTTGGGGTGTGGTGGTGCGTGGTGGTCGGGTGGGTGGGTTGGGGTCGTGGTGGTGCGTGGTGGCTGGGTGGGGGGTGGGGTCGTGGTGGCTCGTGGTGGCTTGGGTGGGCTTGTGTGGGGTAGATCGGGTGCGTGGTGGCTTGGGGGGGTGGTGGTGGCTCGGGTGGGCTGGGTTGGGGTGCGTGGTGGTGCGTGGTGGCTGGTGGGCTGTGTGGGTCGTGGTGGTGCGTGGTGGCTTGGTGGGCTTGTGTGGGGTAGATCGGGTGCGTGGTGGCTCGGGGTGGCTGCGTGGTGGCTCGGGTGGCTGGGTTGGGGTGCGTGGTGGCTGGGTGGGCTTGTGTGGGGTAGATCGGGTGGTGGTGGCCGGGGGCTTGCGTGGTGGTCGGGTGGCTGGGTTGGGGGCGTGGTGGTCGGGTAGGCTGGGTTGGGGTAGTCTCGGGTCGTGGTGGCTGGGTGGGCTGGGTTGGGGTAGAGATAGGGTCGTTGTGGTGCGTGGAGGTCGGGGTGGGCTGGTTTCCGGGTTGAACGGTGGGTTCACGTGGGTACAATGTGAGTTTGTGACACAAGGGCATTGGGGGTTCACGGTGCTGGTACTGGAAACTAGAAAGGGAGATGGTGGTAATGCAAACTGGGAAGTGAAGCATCGAACCTGGTAATGGATTATCAGAAACTGAAATGGTGACTGAAATGGTGGTGATGGATATGAGAAAGTGAAGCACTAAAACGGTTATTGAATTGAGAACTGAAGCACGGAGAAGAAAGTGAAATGGTGAGGATGCA